CAAAACTCTTCTACCCACCTCATATATTCAAAACTCTTCTACCCACTTTATATATTCAAAACTCTTTTACCCATCTCATATATTCAAAACTCTTCTACCCACCTCATATATTCAAAACTTTTCTACCCACCTCATATATTCAAAACTCTTCTACCCACCTCATATATTCAAAACTCTTCTACCCACCTCATATATTCAAAACTCTTCTACCCACCTCATATATTCAAAACTCTTCTACCCATTTCATACGTTTCAATTTCATTTTGAGGTCATTTTTATCTGATCCGATGAGTAACGTTGTGTTGACTTGTTTTACTATTCAAATTGTGTTCACCATTATCTTGCACAATGAAACTAGAAGGATTGTTAGTTCTATACTTGCACTAAATCTGCTCACATGTGATGAAAAGCGCACGTGGTGTATTATGCCCTTAAAATAAATTGCATCATGCACGATACATGCGATTATTACACCAGAAGACTGAATCATGGAGGTATTATACCTCCATGACTGAATGAAATTGACACGGTCAACTGTAATGATCAGTGTATAATACGTGTATTTCATTTCAAATTCGGCATTCGCAATATGTGCCAATTTTTCAGGCAGTTTACTTATATTTATATTAACATGTATACGTTGTTAAAAAAAAACTCGGAATATGCCGACTGCTAACAAGTTTATATAAATTCCTTTGCATAATTAAAACACCGCATTTAATTCTGATTAAAATCTAATGTATTGTACAGCGTGTTTTTTTTTTAATTTCATATATTTTATATTATTAGACTTATATTTGTTATAAATTTGTAGTTTTTATATGAATTAATACGTACATCATATTTTTTTGTTTGTTACTATCACCACATACAAGCCTTATGGACTTTCGTGATTACCAACACTTCAAAAATTTACAGCAAAACTAAGGTATATGAGAAATAATATAATTAAATAATATTAAAAAAAAGAAAAGAAAAAAAGCCCAACTACGACCTGATGAAAGATCTTCTAAATTGGCATAAGTTCCGATGGGGGAAATCAACAAATATAATTATACAAGCTGCCTGTTGGAAATATGGTTCGTATCACGCACATATAAGACAAAAGGGATATACATCCGAACGTAAACAATGTTATGACTGTGCACGTAGCTATATGCTGCATGCTGGTGCTAGGAAAATGTAAATGATACGTTAACACAGTGCACAGTGTTGGTAGAAACTGCCCTCTATCGTCCCACCCATCCTTTTCACTGAGACCGAGGCTTCATCCGGGTATTCGCTAACTTCCATGGCGGAACTCAGTGAGAAAGTTCAGCATGTCCTGAACGATAAACATCAGAAATAGTCCAGTTTCTTGCTTGGATCGTCACGGAGTAGTTCAATTCTGACCACAAGAACTCGGACACTTATCACCTGACAAACGGTCTTCCATATATGGCGTAAGATAGGCAATTTCACGTACGTTGATCGCACTGATTATTGATCTCATCGAATCGTCAACACTGACATTCACAGCAGCTGTATTAAGTGTACAACGCACAGGAAACTTACGACGTTTCACATTCTATACACTAAATTCATCAAAATGAGCACTCCGATTGGTGGCCGGAAACGCACTGGTACTGGGGCTTCGAGTCGGACGTACACGGCAGAGGGCGAAGCATTGACCCACATTGCAAAAGAGGTAAGTTATAGCAAGGTGAAGCGATACATAATTAACCGGTTGTGTCATGTCATGTCAGAATTCCTGAAATAATATTATACTCGTCATTTTGTCGAATCTTCACATTTTTTTGTATCGTGTAGTATCACATAATGAACGATAATCTGTTCATGTTGAGAAATTTCCGCAGTTTCACTTGCATTTCCGTTTACCAACATCACCGTGGCGTGATGACGATAAGTACAAGAACATGTTCGAGAATCTCGCCTCTTGCGGCCTCATTATACCACAGACACTGTGCACTCGCACTTTAGCTGTCAAAACTGAATACTGATTTATAACTGGGTACCATTGAATACACCTGTTCACTCTGCATAATTTCAGCGTTGAATGCGCTTGGGGTCACTAAGTTAAAAAACATTTTTTTCTTTAGTTTCATTCTGAAAATTTATAACGTTTATTATCAGTATTAATGTGTCAATAAACACCTGCCAATATCTGTGGGATGTGAGGACTTAAAAATATTAAAAATCAGAAAGTGTTCTACCACAATGACCTTTCAGGCCTTGTAAACAAGGAGCATCTTAGAATTTATATCAGCTTTGTGTGAATGGGGAGGGGCTCATTATATTTGGACCTTGCCAGCACCTTTACACACAGGTCTGTGAACATTATAAGGCATTTTCGAAAACACTATACGTATCATACATTTTTTAGTGTCTTGATTCGGGGTTAATTCATGCCTCAGTACACCAAAAGTGTTATCGATTACTTCAATACACTTTACGTAATGCTCGGCTTTCGTATGAAAATGGCTGCTGCTCAAAATAGCTGCCTTGTTGCACGTGATTCAAGTTGACTGCCATGTTCTGTTGACAATTGCAGATCTGACGATTCAACAAATATTTTTTATTCAGTTTGATATAGACATGCATACAAAAATGTATGTGTATAAACCAAGTGTTTTTTGAATGTCAGTGAAACAATCAATGCAATTTATTGATGTAAGAACGTACGAAATCTTCACTGAGTATATGGTGTTTTGGAAAATGTTAACAACCATTCACATGGCTGTGTTGTGGTGCTGCAAGTTCCAATGCAATTATATCACTTTTAAAACAGCCCATGTATGCAAGGCTAATCTAATCATATATTTTATTTAATCCTACGATAATGTTATAGCTGTAAACAAATTTCATGAAATTTTTAAATTTATAAAAATTTTTTTAAACTGACAAAATATAAATAGATGTTTAGTAAAATTATTGCTCTTTTCGTACAAGCACTGATAGTATATATGACAATTGGTCTTAACCTTTTCACCACCAGACTTTCTCACCCAAATGTTTCTGCACTGTTTTTTCTATTCTTCAATGTTTCTGAGAATTTTGGAGCCAACAGACAAATTTTCGTTTTTACTCAACATATTTGGCTATTTTTGTTCCAATCGTTTGAAGGAAAGTACAGACTATAACTGGAACTATTTTGCAAATTTCTGATGAAACAGGGAACTGGTGGTGAAAAAGTGAACATTAAGAGCCCTCTCAACCCTGAAATTCATACCCTGTAATGCTTCTGTTTGATTTAGTCATCAAATTGTGTTATATTACCTGGTCTACCAGTTATTTGGTTCCTGCCCTGCTAAAAATTCTTTGAGATGTACATTGACTGTACAGCCATTACTGATACCTTTACTGCACATTAGGCTTGTAAGTGTATTTAAATGACAATTTAAAATCTGTTTACTAATTGATGTCATTGTGTTTTGTTTGTCGAGAGTATCACTTAGAGCCACTGAAAATCAAGTCTCCTGACTAGGCAATACTCCCATCTCAGAAATATACACCAAAACACCATTTCAGTCAAACACCTTGACAATAGGTGCTATTGTTGATGCATTCCTCTCTAACAGTCCCTAGGACAGGGTACTTCATTAAAGAAATTGCTTGCATGACCAACTGACCTAAGTTGATTTAGAGTGCGTTGACCTAATGAGTCATTCAATTGTGTAGTATTATACTGCATTGACAGTGTTATTTAATAATAGTACCCTGAAGATTTGAGATGAGCCAGTATGTAGGAGGATGGACAGTTTTGTATTTCTAAAGAATGCATCTATAATAAAGACTTGGCTAACAAATGTCAGTAGTTATATGGATAAGATTGCCCTGTAAGACGCAAGTTTCTACAAGATTCTTTTGTGACATTTGATTATTGTCATAAGTTCTGTCACATCACACTGTCTAGTGTATGAAGCTTTTTTTTTTTTGACTTGACAAAATGTATAAGAAATAGTAAGAGTACTGTGATAAAGTAATGGTCATTGCAATGATCATCTCAGTTCTGACGTTATAAAAGGACAACTGGTTAGTCTTGAAAATCATGATCTCATAGCATGCTCACCTCCTGCTGTTAATAGAGTATTGATATTACTATTGTTGCAAAATACAGGCATGTTATATGCAAATTTAACAGCTATGCATACTTACTTGGGAGAATAATTGCTAAAATTCAAATATTTTCCTGGGTTTACCTGACATCTCGACTGTATTGTTTACAGCGGCAGATCAAGTTGAATTTTTATAAAAACAGAGGTACATGTAGTATCAAATTATTGCAAGTAGCTGTAACCTTCCTATCTGCTGAATTAAATAATTTGTCTGCATTGGATTGAGTCATTGGTTTTTTCCTGAGCAGGTGTATACATTTATCTTGATTGCGCTTACCAAGTGTTGTTATTGTTTTACCAGAGTATTAGATGTTCATTTCATGGTTGGCTAGAAACCAATGGTGAAAACTGCTTCATGGTCTACTCTAGAAATGCTGTGGTTTCAGTCAAGGGCTACTGACTCTTTGTTCAGTGGTAGTCAATTCAAATATATTGGTTATTGAAACAAGGGTTATTTGAGAACTGTAGGCTGGGTATAACATTTACCCTTCTGCAGTGGTACGTTGCAGGCGAGTCATCGATGCAAGGCATGCTGAGTTCGTTGGATTGAAATTGATAGACATTGCAATGAATTAAAGTAATTACAGTGACTATTGGTCTAACCTGTGATCTGACTTTCTATAGGTGTCTTTCATCTTGTGTCTAATATGTTTTAAAGAGTAATAAACATTAGAGTGTATTAAAAGTGTACGAGTTGAGGCAAATCTAGATGCGGTCAATGCGTTTCTATGGAGTTAGTAAAGGGGTCACTGACATTTTTATATTAATATATAAGCATTTCTCAATTTTCATAAATTATTGTTTTATTACAAATTTCCATCACCAATATTTTGAATATACTGAATAGGATTGTATTCGTGATACAAAATATAATTATATGCATTGGTAATTAGAGATAGTGCCATATATTAGAAAACATTATTATCACTGGTCACTGGGCCATAATCAATCAGTAAACCATCTTCAACTCTCTAGGGAACATACAGATCTGCTTGAGTGAAGCATGAAATAAAGTGCAACATGAACCAGCTAGATTCTAACCAACCAGCCACCTTGTGCTTGCAAGTCCAATTTATTTATAGCTTTCGTACCCTGATCCCTCCCCTAAACTATTTAGAATTACATTGAGTGAGACCCAACAATGCTTTTAAAGAAAAAAAAACTTCTTATGAATACACCCTGGGCACCTAAACCCATTGTAAAATGCACGAATCACAAGTTGTCAATCAAACCTAGATAGTCTGGTAAAACCTTGTTAATTTACTATTTTTAATATTGTCACACACTGTTCTCTCTCTTCCACAATTGATGTGTAGTAATTGATTTCAACAATGCTTCAATGTGTTAAAAAGAGGCAGGCTGTTTATATATAGAATCCGATTCATCTTGAAACTATTTGTATAGTGCAGTGTGTTGAGTCACTGAAAATAAAGGTGCTTCTTTTTACAGCGGGACCCTCTAGATTTAACAAACTTTTACCCTAACTGGCCATTAAATTTCATACAGAATACCCAAAAAAAATTTTTTAACGAAAATTAATTCCAGCTCACAATAAATTATTATTGTTCTTTGTAATGAAGATTAGTAGGTTTATTTATGGTAGGATGTAGTCTTGTAGACAAGATTTTATAACAGGAAAATATTTAAGTGACACCAGCTTTACATTCAGATAATGAAAACTGCCTAAAAATCTATTTTGAAGTGCAAGCGAACAGTTTGTCTCTATTTTTGGTTGATTATTTATAGCTTATTTTTTTAAAAAATAGAAATTTTAAATCAAAAGTTGTTAGGTTTGTGGTTGCAATAATTCATAATTGTAAACCAATCATCTTTAGACTAAGCTATGATATAAATAAGTATAAAACCTTGCCATACTCCAAATGTGATATCATATATCATTTTTTTTTGACAGTTCACCATTTGGGTGACAATCCCACTTTGCATGATCTGCAGAAAAGCTGTGACTGACAACCCCTCACTCGCAGTCGCACCCGACTCCGACCCCCCACCTCCACTGTTAAGCATCATAAGTTTATGGGCAATCAGAATCCAGAAATCAAAACTATGAGTGATTACAACTTTGGTATTGATAATATGTGCAGGCTGGATTTAGTATTCCAATATTCTAATATTTCAGGGTTTTTGCCAGACCAACTAATTTTATAATTTATTTATTGTCTTCACAAATAATCAGAGTGAGATTTTCTGCATATAAATACAAAATGGTAATTTATGCAGCTTTAATATTATTCATGAAATGTTACATGCAGCGATGAAACTTTTAATGCCAATCTGCAATCTGCAAGTCTGTGCCGCTTTGGTGCTTCAATCTTCGCCAAGACACTATAGCTTAGAAAAAGTCAATGACACCATTTAATCTGGGTCAGTCTTGTCATAGACACTGCAGAAGTGTCCGTTGTGTCTACAGGTCATACTGAGTTATTGTGAGTTTTGTATTATGATAAATACCATTAATATTTTATGAGACAATTATTCACTTGTTTGATGATTGTGAGAGACTATACAATCACTCATTTGTGTCTGTTGTATTACTGTCATGTGCCCGTGGTGT